CACCATCGGCGGCCAGAGGCCCTGGCTGCGGGGGAAAGTCGGTGAGTGAGAGACACGGTGAGGGATTGGTTGCCTCCTGCGTGCGCCCCAAGGACGAGCCCGCACCGAATGGATCCCACACCTTCCGTCCTCGGGCCAGACCAGCTCGGGCCCAGCAGTGTCTTTTAATCTCCCGAGGTGACAGGCAGAAAGCGCATTTAGCGTGCACATCGGGGCGAGTTGGCAATCGGGGGTTCCCTGTGGGACCTTCACCACCCTCTACGCCCCGGGCATCCCGCTGGTGTCTGCTGTCCTGGGTGATGGACTCTGTTTAACGTCGGACGGTGCTGCTTTGCCTTTGCCTTCTATTTACTGGTTCTTTTCCCAGGAGGCATTAACACTGGGCTGTAACTTAGGGATTAAAAGAACCTCGGGAACCCTAACCGGTTTGGCTCAGTGGATAGAGCTTCAGCCTGCGGACTCAAGGGTCCCAGGTTCAATTCTGGTCAAGGGCATGTACCTTGGTTGCGGGCACATCCCCAGTGGGGGGTGTGCAGGAGGCAGCTGGTTGATGTTTCTCTCTCATCGATGTTTCTAACTCTCTATCCCTCTCCCTTCCTCTCTGTAAAAAATCAATAAAATATATTTAAAAAAAAAAAAAAAAGAAAGAACCCCGGGAGTGGGGGACCGGCCCCGGAGGTCCTGCTTGGACCCATCCAGCTCCGACCCGGGCTGTGCTCAGCTAGTTGGTATAGGGAAGGGTTTCTGTTAAAAACTCAGAAATCAGAACTCTGCTCAAAACTACCGCGCACTTGAGAGTGTAGTTTAGCTTGAATCCCAGGACTCAGCTGCTGGCGGTGGGTGGGGAGGGGCTGGGGACGAGGAAGCCCTGCTTGGTCCAGGGGCTCTGCCCGCAGCTCCTCCTGGTCGCCCCCCTGCCCTGCGCGTGGGGGAGCCCCTGCTCTGCTCGCAGCAGAGGGGCCGTGGCTCGTTTGGGCTGCAGAGGGTGGGGTGCCTCTAAGAAGGGTCTGGTTTGTTTGTTGCTGCTTTTTAAATATATTTTTACTCATTTCAGAGAGGAAGGGAAAAGGAGAGAGAGAAACATCAATGATGAGAGAGCATCATGGATCGGCTGCCCCCTGCACGCCCCCTACTGGGGATGGAGCCCACAACCCGGGCCTGTGCCCTGACCTGGAATTGAAACCTGACCTCCTGGTTCAGAGGTTGACACTCAACCACGGAGCCACAGGCCGGGCAGGAAGTGTCCGGTCTGTTTAGAGCTCACGATACACTTAGCAGCAGAGGCAGAGTCCAGGGGTCAGCGAGCGAAGCAGGCCATGTGAGTGGCGTGTTTGAAAGGGCCTGCAGGCGGCTGTTCTCTGCCTTCACTTTGCCCGGGACCACAGCTCAAGTCCGCTCCCAGCGACGAGGGCCCAGATCCAGGTGCCCCGCTGTGCCCTCCTGGCGCTGAGGTCCTTCCTGTGGAGCCCGCCCCACGGCTTCTGCCCTGGCCTCACACTTTCTCCAAAGGCTCTGGCATGGGGTGGCCTTCCCTCCCAAGCGGGCGCCCGTGTCCAGCCCACACTCACCTCCGAGCAGCCAGACACTGGGTGGCACCGGCACTGAGGGAGCCCCGCACCCCAGCCCCGGCTCTGTCACGGGGGGTCATTAGCGAGTCCCTCGCAGGTGGGGCGTCTGCCCGGCATGTGACTGATTGTTAAAGCTGCCAGTTGAATGGAACCGGGGAGAACTGTCTCGTCACTTCATCTGGCAGAGGTGTGGCTGGCCCCAAACTTGGGGGTGCCCCACAGGCCAGCAGGGGAGCAGGATCTCGGGAACTAGGGGTCCCCATCAGCGCTCAGTCAGCCGCTCCCGGCGGCCGGTGGGCCCGAGAGCTGTGGGGGCGCTTTTCTTCGTGGTTTTCCGTAAACTCAGTCTCCTGTCCTCTGACAGGTGCAGCTTTGTGATGCAAGGCCTGGTTTCTCCACCCGGCCCTGCACTCCTGCCCTGCACCCCCCGCCCCTTACCCAGGTCCCGGGGGGAGGTGGGCCTCCTGTGCCCGCAGCTCAGGCCCCTGGTGGCAGGTGGCTCCCTGGGACCTGGTTCAGGCGAGGCCGGCAGTCTCACACCACAGGGCCCAGGGCCCTTCGCAGCCCTGCAGGGGCAGGTGCGGGGCTTGAAGCGCTGGGACCGGACTCTGCCTCCTGCTGGCCTCCCGGGCGTCTCTGGGTCACCCTTCCTCTGGGGCCGTGTCATCGGGCGCCGTGCAGCGGTGTCAGGCGTCCCCTGTCCCGCCGCAGCTGCAGCTCTCCCCCGTGGACCTGTCCGAGCTCCACGCCGACCTGAAGATCCAGGAGAGGGACGAGTTCGCCTGGAAGAAGCTGAAGGCCGAAGGCTTGGACGAGGACGGCGAGAAGGAGGCGAAGCTCATACGCAATCTCAACGGTACCTTCCCTCCTCCTCACCCAGGGCTGCGCTCCCACTCGGCTTGTGGGCGGGACGCGGGCCCTTTTCCAGTTCCCAGGTATTAGTTGCAGGTGGTGACATACAGGTCTCGGTGACACGGCCTGAGGAGCTGACCCGCCGGCCAGGGTGCCTCTGGTGGCTCGGTGGGGGGCCTTCTGCCGCTTAGGGGGAGGGCTGGCCGGGGTCTGACGTCAGGAAACCCCTCCCCCCAGCTCACATCAGCCTGAGAATGCACTTCCCATGGCTCGCTCGCCCTCCAGCCCCAGGGTCTGGCTTCCAGGTGGAGGGAGTTCTGAGGCACAGGCCGAGTAGTAGACGGACAGGGGAGGCCAAGCCTCCCTGAGCCCAGAGCGGGCAGGCACAGTCCGGTGCCCAGTGCAGGGCGCTTGCGGGAACTGGTTGTGTCCACAGGAGGGGCAGGGTCGGTGGAGCGACCAAAAGGGTGAGGGGAGCCCGTGCCAGTTTCTAAGGAAGATGGACGGGGGTGGGGGGAGGGCTGAAGGGCAGGGAGGGGCCCTGAGTCCCAGGGCAGACCAGCAGGGGCCTGTCTCAAAGCCCCCAGAGGCTGGAAGTCGCAGTCCCCTGCCCGACGTGGTCCTGGAAACCAGGCTGCTGAGGGGGGCGGGGTGGGGGGCGCTGTGTCCTGCGGGTCTGAGAAGCAGCCAGGCCAGTGCAGCCCCAGGTGAGGGACGTAGCGGCTGGTGGCCCGGCTGCCCTCCAGCGTCTGTGCTGCTGGTGGAAGTTGCTGACACGGAAGTTTCTCCTGTGGAACCTCTCCCTCCAAACGAGAGGGTCCTGGTTAGGGACCCCTCCAGCCGTACCCTGCGTGCGGGCACATCTCTCCCCCGGGAAACGGGCTGCAGGTGTTGGCTGTGAAGCTGGTCTGTGACAGTGACCACATTGGTAACGACCCTTGTCCTGCGGGACCTGCTCGCAGTGGGAGCTACGAGGCGGCCGGCGCTGGCGGGAGGGGTCGGGTTTGTCCTCGTTCTGCTGGGCCCCGGTGGTCGCCGGAAACCTGGGTGGTGGGGGAACCTGCGAAAG